TTTTTTTTTTTTTTTTTTTGAGACAGGGTCTCACTATGTAGTTGAGACTGATCTGGAACTCACTATGTAGCTCAGGCTGGTCTTGAACTCACAGCGGTCCTCCTGCCTCAGCCACCTGAGTGCTGGGATTACAGATGAGCGGCACCACGCCTGGCTTTTAATAATAACTCTTGATATATGATGCATATGAAAGGTTATATTCTTTGGCAATCAAAATATCCCAAACAAAATATGGCAAAATGTCAAGATCTGACAAAGCCATGTGACGGGGAACACAGTTTTTCCATATACTATTCTCTTTATTCTCTCTACATATGCAAAAAAGTTCTATAAATTTTTAAAGTGTCATAAATAGAAAATGCACAGATGTCAAAATATTAAAAAGTAACAAAACATTTCATTACAAAAGTTAACATATGCAAGCATGACATAAATACAAACCACAGCTTATATTCATTTTTAAAACAACCACCATCACTCACCTTGCTTGTCAGAGGCTAATATTTTAAAATTTTTCATCATTTCAATTCTGTCCATGAAAGACACATGCAGACAAGTAATTCTAAAAATTATCACAGGGGTTTCAGAGTAAGTCCAGATTTACCTGTGCTAGCTTTTGTGTAGATGAACTCAGCTCTTTCAGAGGCACAATTTCACTAGCATATGTTTGAGTAGCATGGTCTGTGGTGAAAAAGCCAACTTTTAGATCATCTGAAATGGCATTTCTGAAAAAAATGGATTAAATGTTTTGTGTTATAAAATGTTTCCATGGAATATATGTTAGTGCATACAGTATTATGGGGCAGTCACATTTTAAACAAGGGCTGAAGCAAGGAAACTTCCGGGTTATCTGCTCCTGATCTGGAGTTTTCAGGACTCCTTCAGATCATCAGATTCCCTGGGCTGTGGCATGTTCGCTGCACTGATACTCATCTTATCTCCACCCTCTCCATCTTCTTGTCATCAGTTTAAGTGTATTCCTTTAATATCTTATGTGCTCAAAACAGTTATAAATTATGCATGGGCACCCTCAACAGAAACACTTTAAGACCACAAAATTTGGTCTGGGGAGCCCTGGTGTTCTAGAATGTTCTGTGAGGGAATCCACAAGCTCAAGATCATTTTAATAACAATATGAATTTTTTTCCCTGTGATTCACTCACAAATGTTCAGCGGGGTTTCCCAGCAGCTACAGGTTCTGCGACTCTCCACCAGAATTCAGCTGGCTTACACTAGGAAAATGAGTTTGCCTCAGAATCATTAGAGACTCAAAACCTAAAGACCAGCTATATCTGGAATATCGAAGTATTAAACCAAGGAATTAAACCAAGGACATTACCAATGACAAAAATAGAAATGAGAAGGCATTTAAACAAGGCACAAACACAGACTTATACCCCACCAAAGGTAAACTCTGGGGGAAATGAGGTGGAAAAGTTTGACAGCCAACCATCTGGACACCCTGAACCAATAGCACAGGAAAAAAAAAAAAAAAACCTACAACAAAAAAAACAAAAACAAAAACAACAGATAAATGAGGCTCTGGAAAAATTCAAAACAGAAATAATTTCCCAGATAACCACTGAGATGGTGAGAATGAAAGACATGATCAGAGATTCTAGAACAGAAACAGATAAAAAAAAGAGCTCAGGACCATGATGGAAACAATGAATGCCCAGCAGACGAAAGAAATGAAAACCTTGAATGCCCAACACAGAAAAGAAATGAAATCCATGAAACAGATTCAAACAGATATCCAGGAGATTAAAAACTCTATTGAAAGCATTCACAGCAGAATGAATGAATGTGAAGATAGAATTTCAGATGATAGGATTTCGTTCAGTGACCATAGAAAGAGAGATCTCTTAAAAACAGTAAGAGATCATGAGAAATCAATCCAACAACTTTTAGATAATGCAAAGGAGAATAATGTAAGACTGATAGGAATCCATGAAGTAGCAGGAGAAAGTACACATGACATTAAAAAAAAAACAACTTTAATGACAGAAAACTTCCCAAACAGAGGGGAAGAATTTGACATACAGATAAGTGAGGCATATAGGACTCCAACTAGCCACAATAAAAAAAAAAATCTACACCTAGACATATAATAGTCAAGATCCCGGAAACCCAACATAAGAACCAAATACTACAAGCAGTTAGAGAAAAGAAACAAATCACATGCAAAGGAAAGCCCATCAGAATCACACCAGACTTTTAAACACAAACCCTCCAATCAAGGAGAGCCTGGAGTGAGGTAATTCAAATACTAAAAGAAAACAACCTCCAACCTAGACTGATGTATCCTGCAAAAATATCTTTCAAAATTGATGGGGAAATAAGATACTTCCACAAGAACACCTGAGAAATTTCATAAACACCAAACCGGCACTCCAAACACTTCTAAACAATGTCCTGGAAAAAGAAAATGAAGACCACAACTCCATAAGGGCAAACAGAGCAAATATACCAGGTAAGGTAAGAAAAGAAAAGGGAGAGAGGGAAAAATAAAAAAATAAAAGAACCAACAACAGGAAAATAACATGACAATGAAAAGCCAACACATAACAGTTATAACCATCAATGTTAATGTCAATTTACCAATCAAAAGAAACAGGCTGGCAGAATGGATTAAGAAACAACATCCAACAATATGCTCTATACAAGAAACCCATTTAATTCACAAAGAAATTCACAGACTGAGAGTAAAAGGATGGAAAACAGGTTTCCATGTGACAGGAGTCCAGGAAAAAAAAAAAGATAGCCATCTTATTTGCAGACAGAATAGATTTCAAACCAAAACTACTCAAGAGAGACAAAGAAGTGCACTACATCCTCGTAAAGGGAACAATACAAGAGGAAGAAATGGCAATCATAAATATATATGCACCAAAAAGAGTAATGCCCCAACTATACAAAAAAGGTATTAATGGATATGAAAAATGAAATAAACACTAATACAATTGTAGTGGGGGACATCAATACTCTACTGACACAAATAGATAGATCATCAAGACAAAAAAAATCAACAACAAAATAATAGAACTGAACCAAGTCTTAGAACAAATGGACTTAGTAGATGTCTACAGAGTGTTCCACCCGACAAAATCAGAATATACATTCTTTTCAGCTGCACATGGGTCATTCTCCAAAATAGACCACATGCTAGCTCATAGAACATGCTTAAGTAAATGCAAAGGAATTGAAGTTATCCCCTGTATATTATCAGACCATAGGGCAATTAAACTGGAGATCAATAGCCTAAGAAACTGCAAGAACTTCACAAACACATGGAAATTAAATAACACCCAAATGAACAACCATTAAGTCACAGAGGAAATTAAAGAAGAAATTACACAGTTTCTACAATTAAATGATAATGCCAATAAAACATACAGAAATCTATGGGATACAATGAAAGCAGTTCTATGAGGGAAATTCATAGCAGTAAATGCCCATAATGGGAAATCAGAGTGAGCGCAAATAAACAACCTAATGCTTAACCTTAAGCACCTAGAAAAAAAAAAAGGACAAACTGAAAGCTTGTATAATGGAAGAAATTATAAAGATCAGAGCAGAAATTAATGCAATAGAGACTAAGAAAATGATACAAAAATCAATGAATAAAGAGTTAGTTTTTCAAAAGAATAAATAAAATCAATAACCCTTAGCCAACCTTATCCAAAAATGGAAAGAAAAGGCTCAAATTCATACAATTAGGAATGAAAAAGCTGAAGTCACAACACAGCCACCAGAAATCTAGAGGATCATCAATGTCTACTTTGAAAACCTATACTCTAATAAAATGGAAAATACAGAAGAAATGGACAGATTCCTAAACACATATGAACTTCCAAAGTTGAATGAAGAAGATATAAAAAGTCTAAACACACCAATTACACTCAGTGAAAATGAAAATGTAATTAAAACGTTACCAACAAAGAAAAGTCCAGGTCCTGATGGCTTCAATGCTGAATTCTACAAGCATTTAGAGAAGAACTATCACCACTACACTTGAAACTCTTTAATGAAATTGAAAGAGAAGCAATACTTTCAACTTAATTCCTGGAAGCAAGTATTACTTTGATTCCAAAGCCAGGGAAAGACATAACCAAGAAAGAGAACTACAGACCAATCTTGCTAATGAACATAGATGCAAAAATCCTCAATAAGATACTGGCAAAGAGAATACAGAAGATCATCAAGAAGATCATACACCCTGACCAAGTCAGATTTATCCCAGAGATGCAAGGATGGTTCAACATAAGTAAATCAATAAATGTAATACACTATATTAACAGAGTCAAGGACAAAAAACATATGATCATCTCAATTGATGCAGAAAAAGCATCTGACAAAATTCAACACCCATTCATGATAAAAATGCTACAGAAAATTGTAATAGATGGTCTTTATCTCAGTCTCACAAATCTATGAAAACCAATAGCCAAAATCATTCTAAATGGTCAAAAACTAAAAACCTTCACACTAAATTCAGGAACAAAACAAGGATATCCACTATTACTATTCCTCTTCCGTGCTCGCTTCGGCAGCACATATACTATTCCTCTTCAATATAGTTCTAGAAACATTAGCCACAGCAATTAGACAAGAGAAAGAAATAAAAGGAATAAAAATAGGGAAGGAAGAAGTTAAATTGTCACTATTTGCTGATGATATGATACTCTACATAGAAGATCCAAAAAACTCTGCTGAAAGACTGATAGACTTAATTGACAGACTCAGTAAAGTAGTGGGATACAAAGCCAACACTCAAAAATCAATAGCCTTCTTGTACACAAATATCAGACTCACTGAGAGACAAATTAGGGAAACGATTCCTTTTACCATAACATCCAAAAAATTGAAAAATCTAGGAATCAATCTAACGAAAGAAGCAAAAGAGTCCTACACTGAAAATCACAGCACTCTGAAAAAAGAGACAGAAGAGGATATAAGAAGATGGAAAGACATCCCTTGCTCCTGGGTAGGAAGAATCAACATAGTGAAAATGGCCATACTTTCAAAATTCCTATACAGATTCAATGCAATCCCTATTGCAATCCCAACAGTATATTTCACAGAGCTTGAGAAAACAATCCAGAACTTCATTTGAAACCAGAAGAGACCTAGAATAGCAAAAAAACATTCTACGCAACAGAGACTTGGCAAAGGCTATCACAATTCCCAACTTGAAACTATATTACAAAGCCACTGTCATAAAAACAGCATGGTACTGGCAAAGAAACAGACCCGAGGATCAATGCAATAGATTAGAAGATGCATAAACAACACAGGAAGGAACTCAGCTACCTCATCCTCCTCACTGGAGGAAAGATAGCCTTTTTAATAAATGGCGTTGGAAAAACTGGCTGTCAACTTGCCAAAGATTACAACTAGATCCCTATCTTTCACCATGCACTAAGCTAAAATCCAAGATCTAAATATCAAAACAGAAACACTGAACTTACTGGAAAGTAAATTAGGTAACTCTTGAAGACAATGGCATAGAAGAAGACTTTATGAACAAATCCTCAGCAGCATGAGAACTTGCACAAAGAATAAACAACTGGGATCTCACTGTATTAAAGTTTTTGCAGTGTAAGAGAAATCACCAACAGAGCTAAGAGACAACCTACAATGTGGGGAAAAAAATTTACCAGGTGTTCCTCAGACGAAGGACTACTATCTAGAATATATAAAGAATTAAAAAAAAAATCAGACC